CAGTGGAGCTGCGAGGGGCCCACGAGGGTGGGGGGCACGTCCAGGGGGAGCAGGCGCACCTCCCTGCCTCGTGGCCTCCTTGCTTCTTTCTTGACGTCCACTCCAAGTCCTCTAGATCACGTTTGTTCCAAAAATAACTCTCCCGAAGGTTTCATTCCGTTTGGACTCCGTTTGATATTCATTTTCTGCGAAACACTGAAATAGGCAAAAAAAAACAGCAATTTGCACTGGGCCTCCGGTTAATAGGTTAGTCCCAAAAATAATATAAAAATGCATAGTAAAGCCCATTAAACATCCAAAACAGATAATATAATAGCATGGAACAATCAAAAATTATAGATACGTTGGAGGCGTATTAGAGCTCCAGCGATCCATCTGTGGACTGGTGCAAGCATCTCGGAGTTGGAATATACGCTTTGATGAGTTGACCAAAGCATATAGTTTTATACAAACTTGCGGTGAAGCCTGTATTGACAAGAAAGTGAGTCGGAACACTACAACCTTTCTGATAAGTATATGTGAATGACATATTGTTGATCAGAAATAATGTAGAATTGTTTGGAAAGCATAAAGGAGAGTTTGAAAGGAGATTTTCAAAGAAAGACCTCGGTGAAGCTGCTTACATATTGGGCATCAAGATCTATAGAGATAGATCAAGACGCTTAATAAGATTTTTCAATCAGTACATACCTTGACAAGATTTTGAAAGAGTTCAAAATGGATCAGTCAAATAAGGAGTTCTTGCCTGTATTACAAGGTGTAAAGTTGAGTAAGACTCAACGCCGGACCATGGCAGAAGATAGAAAGAGAATGAAAGTCATTCCCTATGCCTCAGTCATAGGTTCTATAAAGTATGACATGCTATGTACCAGACCAGTTGTGTGCCTTACTATGAGTTTGGCAAGGGGGTACGATAGTGATCCAGGAGTGGATCACTGTATAGCGGTCAAAGTTATCCTTAGTTACCTAAGAAGAATAAGGAAGTATTTCTCGGTTATGGAGGTGATGAAGAGTTCGTCGTAAAGAGTTACGTTGATGTAAGCTTTGCACTAATCCAGATGACTCTGAGTCTCAATCTGGATACATATTGAAAGTGGGAGCAATTATCTAGAGTAGCTCCATGCAGAGCATTGTAGACATAGAAAGTTTGCAAAATACATACGACTCTGAATTTAGCAGACCCGTTGACTAAACTTCTCTCACAAGAAAAACATGATCACACCTTAGTACTCTTTGGGTGTTAATCACATAGCGATGTGAACTAGAGTATTGACTCTAATAAACCCTTTGGTTGTTGGTCACATGGCGATGTGAACTATTGGTGTTAAATCACATGGCGATGTGAACTAGATTATTGACTCTAGTGCAAGTAGGAGACTGAAGGAAATATGCCCTAGAGGCTATAATAAAGTTGTTATTTATATTTCCTTATATCATGATAAATGTTTATTATTCATGCTAGAATTGTATTAACCGGAAATAAGTACATGTGTGAATACATAGACAAAACAAAGTGTCCCTAGTATGCCTCTACTTGACTAGCTCGGTAATCAAAGATGGTTATGTTTCCTGACCATAGACATGTGTTGTCATTTGATGAACGGGATCAAATCATTAGAGAATGATGTGATGGACAAGACCCATCCGTTAGCTTAGCATAATGATCGATAAGTTTTATTGCTATTGCTTTCTTCATGACTTATACATGTTCCTCTGACTATGAGATTATGCAACTCCCTAATACCGGAGGAACACCTTGTGTGTTATCAAACGTCACAACGTAACTGGGTGATTATAAAGATGCTCTACAAGTGTCTCTGAAGGTGTTTGTTGGGTTGGCATATATCGAGATTAGAATTTGTCACTCCGTGTATCGGAGAGGTATCTCTGGGCCCTCTCGGTAATGCTCATCACTATAAGCCTTGCAAGCAATGTGACTAATGAGTTAGTTGCGGGATGAAGCATTATGAAACGAGTAAAGAGACTTGCCGATAACGAGATTGAACTAGGTATGATGATACCGATGATCGAATCTCAGGCAAGTAACATACCGATGACAAAGGGAACAATGTATGTTGTTATGCGGTTTGACCGATAAAGATCTTCGTAGAATATGTAGGAGCCAATATGAGCATCCAGGTTCCGCTATTGGTTATTGATCGGAGATGTGTCTCGATCATGTCTACATAGTTATCGAACCCGTAGGGTCCGCACGCTTAACGTTCGATGACGATTTGTATTATGAGTTATGTGTAAGTTTGTTTGGAGTCCCTTATGAGATCGCAGACATGGCGAGGAGTCTCGAAATGGTCGAGACATAAAGATTGATATATTGGAAGGCTATGTTTGGACACCGGAAAGGTTTCAGAAAGGTTCGGGCATTTTTCAGAGTACTGGGAGGTTACCGGAACCCCCCGGAGAAAGTAGTGGGCCTTAATGGGCTTTAGTGCAAAGGAGAGGAGGGCCGCAGGGTGGCCATGCGCCCCCCATGGCAGGTCCGAGTTGGACTAGGGAGGGGGCGGCGCCCCCCTCTTTCCTTCTCCTTGTCCTACTCCTTCCCTCTCTCCCCCTCTTGGAAAAGGAAGGGGACTCCAACTAGGATTGGGAATCCTAGTTGGACTCCCCCTATAGGCGCGTCCCTCCTAGGCCGGCCTCCTCCTCCTCCCTCCTTTATATATGGGGGCAAGGGGGAACCCCAAAGCACATCAGTTGTTCTCTTAGCCGTGTGCGGTGCCCCCCTCCACAGTTCAACACATCGGTCATATCATCGTAGTGCTTGGGCGAAGCCCTGCGCCGGTAACATCATCAACACCGTCGCCACGCCATCGTGTTGACGGAACTCTCCCTTGTCCTCAACTGGATCAAGAGCTCGAGGGACGTCATCGGGCTGAATGTGTGCTGAACGCGGAGGTGCCGTACGTTCGGTACTTGTATTGGTTGGATCGTGAAGACGTTCGACTACACAACCACGTTAACTAAATGTTCCGCTTTCGTTCTACGAGGATACGTGGACACACTCCCGTCTCATTGCTATGCATATCCTAGATAGATCTTGCGTGATCGTAGGAATTTTTTTGAATTACTACGTTCCCCAACAAAACCCATCTCTTGAAAGTGCATTTTCTGGTGCTGATTGGGCAGGCTGTCCCGATGATAGAAAGTCCACTCGAGGTTTTGCCACATTATTTTGGTGTAATCTTGTCTTATGGAGTTCAAGAAAATAACTTATAGTATCAATGTCCATCACTGAGATAGAGTACAAGTCTCTTGCAAATGCAACAACAGAAATAATTTGCATACAATCTCTGTTACATGAACTTGGTATTGATCAATCACAGACAATAGCTTTATGGGGTGATAATCGTGGTGCCACTTATCTGCCAGCAAATCTGTGCTTCATGTCGAAGCAAACATATTGAAGTTGATTATCATTTTGTCCAAGAAAGAGTAGCAAATAATTTACCTAATATTTGGTTTATACCGACAAAAGATCAAGTTGCGGATGGGTTTACATACCCCTGACACTACGGCAACAAGAAGCTCTTCAGCACAATCTTAGCTTAGACGAGTTGTGATTGAGAGGGGGTGTTGAAATAACTATGTATTTCATGTCTGTACCACGTTGTAGTTTGTTCAGATAGTTGTAGTAATCTAGTCGGGATGTTATACATATTTGATCCTATCTCTTATATAGTTGTCTATCTCTTGTATAGCTGTGGTAGAGATCAAGTACTTGTACACAACTCGAACCGACCCTTGTAACCCCTTCTATTATATAGACACGCACGAGTCCCACCACGTGACACATGTGGTAAACAATCCAACCTATATAAAAAAAAGAAAAATACACGCACGAGACCCTGCTACAAGAATAGCAAAAGTTTCCGGCATCGTATCTTTTACAACCAGGAGCAGCCTCTTCTTAGGAACATCAGCCGACCATCCAACTGGATGGCCATTGACCGCCGACAACACAAACTCGAACTTGAAGACCCGGAATGCAGTCCTCCGTTCATCGATGTGGATATTCCTCACGATGACGCCGTGGAAGCCGGGATAGTGTCGGCCACGCGGCCTCACTGGAGCTCTTCGGGCGGGCTTCGTCAGCCTAATTGGAGAGGGCTCAAGGTCAGCAGACATTTGGGGTGCTCTGTGATGGAAGAAAGAGGAAAGCAGAGGCTCTGGTTGCTCGACATGGACAAGCGCGATGGTGGCACAAAATGGAATGCTTCAACCCTGACACCGTGCCTTGTCGTTCTAGTTGCAACGCCGCTTCCTCTTCAAGGGTGCCTAACACTAGATCCGGAGTCCAGTGCTTGTTGCAACATGTGAGGCGGCGCCCCGACAAAAAGGTTGGGCAGGGGAGCAAAGGCCAGCACGCATGAAGGCGGTGTGGAGGCGCCGTAGGTTCCCGGTCGCCGGTGTCGCACAGGGAGGGAGAGGGGTTGGTTGGAGGGCTAGGTGTAGATGCCAGGATGATGTGGCGGCCGAGTTGGCTGCTGGCTAGCTATAGACGGTCAACTCTCCAAAACCGATCAAAACAACCCACTGCCCAGAAAACTGGCTCAAGGAGAGGAAATTGATATATGTCTGGTTTTGTGAGTTTGGGTTTGTAAAATAGAAGGTTTTGAACTTTGGGGCTTGTTTCTTAGACTTGAGTGACAATTCAAGGTTGAAATATGAACTTCTCTCAAAACCTAAAGTTACAAGATTAAACTGAATCACTGCCAAATCTAAGATACACCTGACATGTGATATGAACAGTGATTCTTTTTTTTAGAAGGATATGAACAGTGATTCTGCGTTGTCTGCTTGCTGCTTGAGATCGGGCGGCAACTGTCTACAGGCTCAAGTGAAGGGAACCGTTTGGGAATTGTTTCCCTCCTCTCATACGCGATAAGAAAGACACCACGGCTTAAAAGTGGCGGGTAGATAAGCAGCCATTCTCGAACCATTCGCGCCTATTCCGTTCCATCCGCTGATCTCTGTTCGCATCACCGATGCCTCCCATGGGCATGGCTTCCACTTCCCTTCTCGTCCCCACCTCCTTCACCCCGGCCGCCGTCGCCGCCACGGCTCGCCGCAGCTTCTTCAGCCACCGCCCCCCTTCCAGCCTCCCCGCGGTCCGCCTCCGCCTCCCCCGTACGTCCTCGCTCGTCGTCTCCGCCTCGGCTTCCCCGCCGCGGTCGCTCGACGCCCTCATCTTCGACTGCGACGGCGTCATACTGGAGTCGGAGCACCTCCACCGGCAGGCCTACAACGACGCCTTCGCGCACTTCGGGGTCCGCTGCCCGCCCGCGGCCGACGCGCCGCTGTACTGGGACGAGGCCTTCTATGACGACCTCCAGAACCGCATCGGCGGCGGGAAGCCCAAGATGCGATGGTACGTCACGCCCGCAAGCTTGACGATTCCTTCGCGTGTGGCATTCCGCGTGTGATATTTTGCCTCAGCAATTGCGCTGTGATTGATTTTGCGATCAGCCTCCCACCATTTGTTGCTGGCATTTCGATTTCACAATCTGAATTCTTGCTTACCTGCTTTATATGCAGGATGCAGTTCGTCATTAGAATGGTGTGCAAAGTTTAATGTTTCGAGAAAAAAAATGTGGCAAATAGTTTGAATGGGAATAAGTGATGTTGCAGGGCAGGGCATGCTAGGGTCCACATGCTGTTTAAGTAGTTGATGATTAGCATGTGGATATTGGTTCTGAATCGGTTTCAATCTGTTACAGGTACTTTGGAGAAAATGGGTGGCCTTCTTCAAAGATATTGGAGACAGCACCTTCAAGCGACGAAGACAGGGAGAAGTTAGTTGACGTTATTCAGGTCAGATTTTTTATGTCCTTGGTTCTAAATCAAATGCATTAGCTCCTTATTATCCTTTTCAAGAAGTACAAATGCTTCGAACCATGTCTAAGAATCCATGAATTTTACAGAAGTACATTTTTGCAGGACTGGAAAACAGAGAGGTACAAAGCAATAATCAAATCTGGAACTGTAAGTGAAATGAATACATTGGGAAATTCTTACTCATCATCTCAGACTGATTTTCAGCTCTGTATGCTAGGTGGAGCCTAGACCTGGTGTTTTGCGGCTGATGGATGAAGTTAAGGGTGCGGTAATACTTATTGCAAGATTTATTCTACTTTCTACTAGTGTTTTCCTCATACTGTAAACTGCTTTGCAACATAATATATTTCATTTAATCCTTTTTGTAATGTACACTAGGTGAATTCTTATTTAATGTTCCCATTAAATTACAATAGTATGGGCTATTTTGGAAAAAATGAGGTGATTTTGGTATAATGGTGTAGGGCATCAAGCTTGCTGTTTGCTCTGCGGCAACTAAAAGTTCAGTGGTGTTGTGTCTTGAAAATCTTCTTGGACTTGTAAGTTGCATTTGACTTATGCTGTGTTTCTTATATTTCTGACATGAATTTTACTTTCTCGGTTGAGATTCCATTTCTTTACAATTGTATGGTTTTATAGGAAAGATTCAATGGTCTGGACTGCTTCCTCGCCGGTATAGTTCTGGTTGTTTTTGCTTCTTTCTGATCATGTTTACCATGGTTGTTTTGAGATTAACTGGCAACGATCACAAAAATGTGAATGAGCGTGCAGGATTGTCTTTACAAAGTTTTCGTACCAGTCATCCTAGTTGTTTTCTTGTTTTACAATTTTGTATTAGTTCAAATAAAATATTACAATGGCCAGTGACACGGTCAAGAAAAAGAAGAAATCAGTGAAATGAGTAATATAAAGTCTAGTAAAGATTGAGATGTGTTTTAGCTTACATTTTTCACCCGGCTAAGACCAGATCCTATTTAAATGCACTTGCAATTATTTGTTGTTTGGTAGGTGGTTATATTCTGAAAGCTATGATAAGTCATTCCACGGCATTCAAAATTCTTGATTGTTTCATGTTGCAGGCGATGATGTTAAAGTGAAAAAACCCGATCCATCGATATATATTACAGCAGCAAAGGTAGTGAGCACAATTGAAGCATATCATGTCAAACTTTACTTGAGTTTTTTTTTAAAATTGGTTGTGTTAAAGACTTAATTGTTCGATGCAGAAATTAGGATTAGAAAGCAAGAACTGCCTTGTGGTAGAAGACAGTGTCATTGGACTACAAGTAGGTCTTCCAAGTTCTTATTTATCAAATAAACTTATACTCCCTCCGTACCAAAATATAAGACGTTTTTGTAGTTCAATTTTGTTACAGAAACGTCTTATATTTTGGTACAGAGGTCGTACTTTTGAACACAAGAGATGACTTTCTTTTGACAGGCAGCAAAAGGAGCAGGGATGTCATGTATAATAACATACACACCTTCAACTTCTAACCAAGTAAGATAGAGCTTAGCTACAAAATATTGTTCAGTCTAACGGTCCACATTCTGATCTCCTGAATTTTCTGTAGGATTTCAAGGATGCAATTGCAACCTATCCTGATCTCAGTAATGTGAGGTATGTAATGACTTATCCATTTTACTAGTTTGTTTCATCAGGTAAACAACACCTGTTAATTCTTTACAGGCTTGAGGACCTGAAGCTACTGCTCCAAGAATCTCTCGTCACTGGATAGTGGAATTTCCTGCTTTCGGCAGGCCTTATTCGGTTGGTGGCGATCCAATCCACAGAGGGGTTGGGTGATCCCGCCCCTCACCCAATCCCCGCTAATTCCTCCACACACACAATCCCTCTACTAAATCACTGCTCGGTTAAACCTCTTGCCCCTCGGGGAGATTTGAATTGTGCATAGCTGTTACAATGCAGCGGCAACAGTAAAATATTTGGAGTCACAGCTTACAACAGCGACATGCCAAACTGAATTTACAGTAGAACACATGTACTGACAGGGGCACATACCCAGCATTTCATACGCAGAGAAAGTGATTTGAAAAGGAAAGTGAAAAAAAAAAAACTTAACATTGCAGCTGTTGCTGATGTTTCCAGCTGATTACGGTGATACTGTTTGCAGTGAATCATGATCAATCTGTTGAGGCAATGTTAAGTCTGTTGTCACGCAACCACTATCATCTCATTCTCAGCAGTCAATTTTCCACTTCCGAGCCGCTCTCTCCCGAGAAACTCACATTCTAGCAGCACGGGCTCCCAACTCATCAAGAAAAAAAAAAAGCACTGGCTCCTGCGAGGCGCATCAGCGGAGCAACCGGCGAGCATGCGGGTGCGAGACGCTGACGAGCGACACGTCGTCGACGACGGGTCCGCAGAGCGTGCCGCTGCGGTCGGACGTGGTGTGGTAGCCCGTGCTGTAGAACACCACCCGGGTGCTGTTCCCCTCCGCCTTGAAGTCGAGCTTGTCGCGCACGTAGCCGCCCGTGCCGCGGGACTCGTACGACACGCGCTTGCCCCCGTACGCCGTGGCCACCTGCACGCTCATCGGCGACGCCGCGCACTTGTTGCCGGCGTCGCCCACGGAGAACTGCAGCCTGTAGGACCTGCCGGGCACGGTGGCCACCTCCTGGACCAGCGCCACCTCCACGCCGGCCACCAGCTCCACGGCGCGGGAGCCGTGCGGCACCCGGAAGTGCCCCGCGTCGATGTACTTGACCACCTTGGAGTGGGACATGATCGTCCACCCCGGCAGCGGCGACGTGGCGTCCTCGTCCATGGGCGGCACCAGCACCCCCGACGGCGACCCCGGGGTCATGTACGGCCCCTCCTCGAAGTCCCCGTTGATCAGCATGTTCTCTGTACATGTCATGCAGGCGTAGACTAGAGTGAGAATTCCGTAACGTGATGAGATTTCGTGGGTGCGGTTAACGACGAGATCGTGGTATGTCTTACGGTGGGTGGCGTGAGGAGGGCTGAGCGTTCTGATGGCGACGGCGTCGACGATGGGGCCGCACGCGGGGTCGTCCACCTGGTCGTCGCCGTGGTGGATGATGAGCGACACCACGCCCTGCTTGGCCTTGAAGGCCCAGGCGTACGAGTCCCAGCCGCTGCTGGTGTACACCGTCTGGACGGGGAGCTCGCCGCCGGACGCGTCGCCGGGGACGATCGACACGCTCAGCTTCTCGGACTGGGCGCAGGTGCGCGCCGCGCTGAAGGTGATGGAATAGTACTTGCCCCGCGTCACGCTGAGCTGCTGCTGGATCGAGGATTCCGTGCCCAGCCGCACGGCGTGCCTGCCTTCCGGCACTATGAGGACCATATGGTCCTGCTTCGCCCCGGACTCGATGTACTCCACGAAGCCGGCCACCTTCCAGTACGGGATCGCGTACTTCCCCATCACCCTCGAGCCGTTCATCTGGGACCTGTTCGGCGCGTACTCGAAGTTACCGTTCAGCAGCGGGCCTGCAGTTTGCATGAGCATGACAGCACGTGTCAGATTAAACGACAATGTAGTAGTACTCCTCCATAAAACGAAGTGATCCTCTTGTCCTTGATGAATGCTAAGTTGCTAACACAATCGGAGCAGTATGATCTGTGCGGTTAGTAAGAAGATCAAGGAGTAACAGTAGCCTTGGAGGCCCTCACCGTCTCCGCCGGAAGCAGCAGCTCGAGCAGCCGCGCAGACGAGCAAGAACAGTGCGCCGTTGAGCACCATCTCTCCAGCTATGAGCCTACCGGCCAGCGTACAGCTCTCTCCTCTGCTTCGGGGCTGGATGGAATAGAGCTCTCGATCACGGAGTTGCTTAACCGGGAAGGTGCCATCTGGCTCCACTTATAGGCCGACCGTTGAGGCGTCTGGCAGTGGCAAGTTTGGCGCCGCGAAATGCGCCGGAGCACGAGCGGAGGGGGCTTCGCCTCGCCTCGCTGGTCCGTCGGCGACGCGCGTGGTGAAATCTGAAATGTGTTAGTGCAGGTGCGGCGGCATTCCCCCTACGTGCGACCACGTGGACTTGAGTGGTACTAATATCTGTGATGTTCTGGTTGCCGCGATCACTGCCGCATATGGACGTCGGAGCGGAAGGTTCCGTTTATTCGCTTGGTCGGCCGGTGCACGCTGGCTCACCCATGCGCAGGATCGAGGAGGCTGTCAGTGGTGCTGCGGCGGGCATCTTGCCAGAGGCGAAATGGGGCGACCGATGCAGTTCATGCTGGGTAGGGTCTCAGCTGGGAACCATGGTGACTAGGGAGGGCACACCTGCGTGGACTCTGCTCACATGGCCATTCTGTTTCTTTGTCAACGCTCCTCCCTGCGGCGGCCCTGCCGCGTGTCAGGGGATGGCTATGTCAATTGCAGACGGTGCAACTTGCTGGAGGCTACAATAGTTATATGCAAGTATTTATATCACTCCCTCTATTCACTATAAGGCCTTGAAGACGGTGGAAAGTAGCTCATTTTCAGTTGTCTGAAACGACTTATAAAAATAAATGAAGGAAGTACAAACAACATGAACCATGTGCAAGATTACAATAGCTATAGATAAGTTGGCCGAATTTACAATTTGGGTAAGCCGATATTGTGGGAGGAGCAGCGGTTGGAGGAAGAAGAAAGAATGATGATTGTTGAATCTTAATCCAACGGCCCAGAAAATTGACTTACCCAAAATAAATATTCAGGCGACTTACGTATAGCCTCGGTCCCAAACAACACACGCTTTACATTGTGGTGATAGTCGCCAACCGCTTTTTGACTAATGTCTTCTTTTACCCTTGAAAGCAACATTCAAATGATCCACATTAAGATCCGGGGATCAACCTTATCTGACCCTGGAAAGATTTTTTAAACGGATGCAATATATTTTCTTGTTCGTTAATTTAGAAAAATGAACTGTCTACTTTATTAGCAAAAAATCAAACAAAAACGTTAGCAATTTGCCTTAGGAAGAAGAACAAGCTACATCCCTACAAGGCATGTAGACCACTCACAAACCAAGAAGCCCCATGGTCACAAATACAAAGGCGGAGTTTTTTGCGTGGATTATGATGCAGGGGAAATGTCTGACGGCAGATAACCTTGCTCGCCGGAAAATCCCCCATGATCTGATCTGATCGCTTTGTCGTGCTGCTCCGGAGGCAACACACCACATCATTGAAACATGCCCCTTCTCGGTGCAGCTGTGTAACAAGACAACGCAATCACTGGGACAACTATTCAACCTGAACATGACAATTGACAACCGCATGAAGTCATGATTTCAGAGTGCAGATTAGGTTGTTGCCGGTCTCATAGGGCAACGTGGAAGTCCACCTGCCTTCTAGTCTCATGTTGCATTTGGAAGGAGCGCAACGAGAGGATCTTCAACGCTAGGGCTGGCTCGGTCTCCTAGGCAGGGGCAGATCTAGTGGCACCCCCTCCGAAATTGTAAAATAAATTTTATCCATACTTAACACTAAATATCCATCAAGTTGTTTTGTTTCCAGACTATTTGTTGAGATTATGATGATGTTTGGTGTAATTTTTGAATCATGGCACCCCCAAAGCCTGCCATTCTAGGTCTACCACTGCTCTCGATCCACGATAGAATTGTCGACCAGGCAATGACTGGCTACTCACGGGGCTGGCGCCAATGGCCAGCTTCTTCGAGCCGCCATGCGATGTGGATGGTGGCCGATGTGCAAAGACGGGACAATTGGCTCCATGCCTGTAGCTTTTTTTTTTCTTTTTTTTCTCTTCTTTCAATTTTCAGTTCCTTGTAATTGGTTTCTTCCTCTTCATCAATGAGAATCAGCCTAAGGCTGTTTTTTTCGTTGAAAACCCGACGAAAGCTCCCAATAAAGATCGATGAAAGACTTAGGGATGGCAATGGGTACCCATTACCCGCGTATCCCGCGGGTAAAAACCCTATTAGGGTAAGGGATGGGACAAAAATTTATCCATGGATACTTAAATGGGAAAATATCATACCCATCGGGTAGGGAGGGTACGGGTATGGGATCATATAACCCATGCCCGCATACCCATGTACCCATCTAAAATACTGACAAGTGGGTTCCGTTTAATATCCTTATGTATTAATTTTCCCCTCCTAATCGCGCTAGGTAAAAACTCTTATGTGTAGTGAAATTATCTCTATAATTTATCATGATTTTGTGAACTTAAAGTGCAATCCTATGTGTTGTTATTTATGATTATGTGTTGTTGTTTAACATTTTTATGCGTCACTTTATAGGCAAGTATTTTTGTTTATGAGAATGTGTTGTTGTTACAATATGTTGTTGTACATTGTTGTTTAAAATGTGTTTCTATTAAGAATTTATGATTATATGTTGCTTGTTACAACTATTTTCTACTCAATTGATATGTTGTAAACACAGATATTTTTACCCGCGGATACCCAGATACCCTGTCGGGTGACAGGTATGGAAAAAAGTTACACCCTTAATGGATATGGGTGATAGGTAAGTTCAGAATGGACGGGTAAGGATATGGGGTGGATTCAGCCATACCCATACCCTACGGGTGCCAGAAAGCTTCCAATACGTTACTCATGGAAACCCTTCACCATGACATCAACAAAGATAACGGGTACAACCAAACTCATGTAAGCCGCACAGGAACCAGAAGGCATCCATCATGTAACTGCGAACACCTTCCCTTTAGTGCCACCCTTCATGCTTTTGCTCATGCTTGATTTCTCCTTTAGAATGGCGGGCCGGTGGTTAATGCCACCATTCTTGCTTCTATCCTTGATTGCTTTCTCCTTTTGGAGGCAGCCATTCGTCTTTGACGGATTCAGGATTAGCAACATCCAAACTACTCCTTCCATTCCTAAATACTCTCTCCGTTCTCAAATACAAGTCATTTTAGAGAGTTCAACAAGGGACTACATACGGAGTAAAATGTAGTCCATTTGAAACCTCTAAAAAGACTTATACAGAGATTCCACAATAGACTACATACAGAACAAAATGAGTGAATTTATACTTTAAAATACATCTACATACATCCGTATGTGGTCCATAGTGAAATCTCTACGAAGACATATACTCTCTCTGTCCCAAAATTCTTGTCTTAGATTTGTCATACATCCATATTTAGATAAACCTAAGACAAGAATTTTGGCACGGAGGTAGTATTTAGGAACGGAGGGAGTAGTAAGGAAATTGCAAACCTTGGGGGTGAAGTGGACACCCTGCATGATTTCAGCCTTTCTAGGCGTTCGTTTCACAAGATATGTATAGAATTCCTTTCTGGTCCACAATATTGGTATAGAACAAAATAGTACAAGTTTACATGCTATCTTGAATCTTACATGATTAAAAAGGAGTTAAATGCAAGTGAGGTCCTAATTCTTTTGCCGAAATGTTGAGTGAGTTTCATACTATGAAAGTGCACATTCCAATCTAAAAGTACTCTCTCCGTCCCAGAGTAAACAAAATGTTTTGCCCCTTATTACTTTTTATTTTTTTGCTCTTATGAAGCTGGGCAATATGCCAAAGGGACCATTTCTTTTGAGCGTATGTATTGGTAGTCGTGACAAGTAGCTAGCTAGAGAGTGTAGGCGACGATTGCTGGTATCGGTTCAGGTCATCCCAGACCAAGTGCTCGACATCCTCCCACGACGTTGCATCCCTCAGCTCCTTCCACAGGCCAAATATAGCCGCCAAGACGTTGTCGTCGTGCAGTATGCAGTAGCACCTGTAAGCAAGCAGCGCACATCAGAACTAACACATGTTTGCGCAAACACACACACGCGCGCGCGCACACATGTTTCTCCCTTGGACACTGACAACCCAACAAGGATCGATCACAATTCACAAGTGCACAAGCACCGCTTATCATTGTTTGTTTATGTATGTACTTACATCGCGCGATATGATGCGGTGCTGAACTTCGAATTTTGCACCGACTTGTAGATGTCGTTGTTTGATTTCCCTCTGAGGAAAGGAAGCTGATAGCTTCTAAGGTACTCCCTCAGAAGATCAATATCACCACGGAAAACATCCAAGTGCAGCGGAATTAAGTCGCATAGAGGATCCCCTGTTACGACAAACAATATTGGATCACAATCAAATAAATAAATATAAACTCTTTCTAACAACCTTACATAGCTTCTTTTTTCGAAACGGCCTTACATAGCTTCTAAGACTGCAAACTGGTAGATATGAGCAGCTCAACTTAAGCATTTTTACAGATAGTTATAGCATCTTCGATTCAGATGTCAGTGATACATTACAAAATTGGTATTTCGTTAAATACATGACAATAACTTGAACAATGTCAGATTTCCAGGAAACAAAGTAAACTGGCTGCTTACCAATGTACAGATCACTGAAGTCAATGATATGGATTTCATTCAGTTTCTCCAGATCTCCGTCACCAGTGCTTTTGGTATCAGTGAGGGAACCCATTTCGGGAGCCCTCTGAGTAAGAATGTTATCGTCCATAATATCTGAATGTATCCAAGAAGGGAATGTGTACACCGAGTCACCGTCGCCATCCTAATTGTTCAATCATACCATTAAACACAATGCTCGACCAAGATGCATACAAAGAAGACGAGATTGAAAAATTACCTTAACAAACTTGATTAGAGAATTCATATCAGGAGGGAGATATTCTTCAGCCTTCTCAATTAAAACTGTTGGTACGGTGCCCCCCCTTCACAAATATGTAAGCAATGTTGAGGTATCAGGCAGTGTATGGAATTTTGTATCAATATAATATAGAACAGGTCAATACCAAATCAATGCATCGTCATTGCAATTTATATTTTGATTATGTTGAAATGTTAGAATGTTAAAGAATGTAATGGTTACTTATTGAATGCCTGCCTCTACAATGTTTTTGGAACTCAAGTACACTTTCGTAGAGGATTTTAAGTTGCAACTGAAGCATTCTATAAGACAATATTCTTCTTAACCACTTCACATGATCGCGGACACAAAATTGACTTGCAAACTCACAATGTTTCTGGATAAAATAAACTGAGCAACAATGTCCTGTTTTACTAAAACTTATAAAATCTATGCCGAACAAACCTGCTTTAGAAAAAAGTTCACTTACCAGGTAGCTAGGTGCTTCTTTATATTATTCTTTCTTCTGTTTAGAGTAGAAATTACTTGTTTCCATTCAGGTGGATCACTGTCTTTCACATTATTGTCCTCAGGTTCGGGTAATGATTCCCCATGTGGAAGGGGTAATAAATGGATATTTCGCATTTGAACTCCCAAGGATGATGCAAGATTCAATAGGTCAGCCTTGGACAATGTATCACGGCTAAGAAAAATGAAGAGTAGAGTAAGCACGTATTTACATAATTAATCAAGTGATCATTCCCATTTTCACTTGAGAAATGAATAAAACTTACACATGAGCAAAGATATCCCCTTTGCATTTTCTGGTAACCATGTAAGGCCAAATAGGTCTGTTCGAAGATTCAGCGGAACCATCCATTCCAAACTGTTGTTTGCTCCATAACCCAAGAGGAAAACAGCTGTTTGCGTAAGAAAGCTCCAGAGGATAGTATTTAGCCAAAACATCTGGCATTCCTTTTCCATTCCATGGGACTGTTCTGTAGACGCCATCTTCGTACACAAGAAAGCCACTTGCAATGATCTCAGGGATGTGGTTGACCAAAGGCGAGCCTACTTTTCGCAGAAGATCATAGAACTCAAGCTGCATCAAGAAAGGGATCAAAATCGTGAGTGTTGCATTCAATTTTATTAAGTTGCAGAACAAATGCAACAATACCTCTGTGCCTAAACCATGGGCAGAATAACCCAAGCCTCCTTCAGCATTGATTTTAATCACATTGTCAGAGACAATGAAGACCTGAAAATTGTGGTACATGTTATATTCACATACCATGCAGCGATGAGTGTATATGAACTGCAATTTGATACTAAGTGGCATCATAGAATACATCTTAGAATCTCAGATATTTTTAATGTCTTGGGGATCAGCGCATAGCAGTGAGCAATTATGTATACAGTAACAAGTAAACCAAGATATTCTATATGAATCAGTTTCTGTGAGTGATATTTATGAAGTATTTCGAACCAACACGAATTACATGATACTAGCATGCCAGAATTGCTTATCGACAGTTCTAAATCTGAGACAGCTAGTAAAAGTAAGTGTATACTTACTGGGTTGCTACCTGTCCCAACAGGAAGCTTCTCATCCTCTGACGGTGCCGGTAAACTATGGCATGCCCTTATTTCCTCTAAGCATGCATACCATTTGTCCACATTTATTGCTAGGCATGCACCCTACACAAATAAACATATATATTGGCAGAAGGAACAGACCATTATCAAGAAATAGATACATAAACCACATGGTAATTTCATAAAAAAGATTGACATAGTAAAATTTTATGTAAATGATGGAACAAAGCTCACCTTCCATATTAGTCCTCTCAGTTCAGGTTTAAGAACCCATAACCTTCGCAGCCATTCTCTTGCTTCTCTCTGGCCAATTGGATTAGTAGGACTCCAGACAGAAGTATAGTGATCTTTTTCTTTCTCAAGGAATTGAGATAAGAAACCTATATCATACGAGAAAACTTGGTTCTCCAAACTTTTGTCGACGTCTGAGAACTCAAATGAAGAATACTGGCTTTCACTGTTTGAAGCTCTTACGGACCCTGAACCTTTCAGTCTTTCTTCTGTACGGGTCATGTCATTGTGGTTCAATGTAATTGTTCCAGGTGGATGATTTTCCATATCTCTAACAGATTTTCCTGGAACAGCAAGTAAGCCAGCACGACAAACTCCTTTGTGACAGTGACCAGGTGCCATGTCTAGACATACATGCTCAAAATTTGATTGATTGACAAAATTTTGTGTAACTGCAACTGTTGTCTCAAGGTTTAAAACACAATGCCACCATCCACTAGGAACAAATATAGTCTCTCCTGGCAATTGTGTGCATTCCAGTGGCTTCTCGTGTTCGGCAAGATGAGGATAGATATCAAGCCACCACTGCAAACGGTCAAATAATGTGAAATGATATGGGGTAAAGTTTGGAGAAAAGCAAAAACAGTAATAAGTTCATTACCTGCAAAGATGTTGGAGTATCAATGTCAACATCACCATCTTCAGCACTTACATGCACTGTGACACCACCAGGCACTCTTCCTGGAGGGTACAGTGCCCATCTATGAAATAAGGTGGAAATCATTAGTGCAAACACAAATTCTTGCTCCTTCCAAATTTTCAGCATTGTACAACATAGGACAATCAGCTTTAACAAGTCAAGAGGAGTACAAGTTGAGGTTGTATAGCATATCCTCGCACAGTTCACAGTATAGGTCTATGGTTTTAAAGTTTCAATTCAAAATACAAAGCATGCACCCAAGTTGAATCACATCTCTCTATTGCCCTTGGTTATCTTCCGTCTCTGTTCAACATACTATATGACATGATTCTCTCCCACTCCCAAGACATTAACTATGGGTATCCTCACTAAATTTATCAATCGTTAATTCAACTCGCCCAGTTGGCTGATTATTTCTGCACGACTGTTTTTTCACATCTGACTTTAAAATAAGCAACATACAGAGCAGCACCCAGTCACCCACAAGCTGCACCAAAATAGAAGCACTGCAATGACCTTAAGAATCCAATAGGCCAGAAATGTTGCACAAGATCCATGCACATTTATTTAACTGCTACTAGATTTCAAATATACAACGACGTGGTGAGTACCACAGCTTGAGTGCACTATCGAGTAACACCTACGCACACGTACATAAAAAAAATGATCCAACCTTTTTCGGCCACAAAGAAGAGTATTCCACGCACTGGTTAATCCTGGATCAACATGCCAAGAGGCACCTGATCTTTCTGGTCCAATAATGAACCATCTGAAAGCTGGTCTTTGTTCATAATCCAAGACATCAAAAAGATCTTCTTGAAATAAATGAGGGACTCTGTAATCTTCCAATAGTGCTGGTGCTGATTCTCCAAACTGTAACAATTTTCTGAACTAAGTTTCTTTTTATTTACCTAACTTCAGTAGTAAATGAAATGAAGTGATGATTACCTTATCATCAAATATGTAAAGAGGGTCTTCATCATGCTGGAGTTCCATGTAAGAAACATAGTCTTTCAGTTTCATTATTATCTTCTTAGGGCTTCTTTGTGATATCCTAAATGTAACTTCACCATAATCATGTACCAGCTGCTGCATTGACCATTTCGTCCTCGCTGGCCAGGATTCAGCCAGCTTACCAAGCAAAACCTAGTTGTGCAATACCACCAATATGATTTCAGATAAAAATCATTGCAAAACAATAACGTAGAAAATCCACATGTTATAAATCTGAATTAGAAGCAAAAGTTAACTCAATTCTTACTGGGCCTTTTCCATCATACTGAGAACGGAAATGATCCAAAGAAAGATCATCCTTTCTTTCCACATGGCCATTGTCAAAGGAATAACTACTCAAAGTAGTAAAACATCTATACCATCTCCTGTATAAGTACAATGAGTTGAATCCTGCATGAAAATAAGTATGAATAGGGAAATAAAAAAGGCAAACACAACAAACATAAAGTAGATGTACCATACCATCAAAATGACGAGCCTTCTGCTCAAGCTCACTTTTTTCGGAGCAAAGATTAAGCCTGAAAATGAAGCAATCCAACCTTTTCAGTGGTAATCATTGGTCAACTTAGGATTGTTTTCAAAATACAGAAGGTTACACGACAGATAGAATGGTCATATACCTAGACAACGTTGTTTTCTTCCAAGAACCTTTGTACTCAAAATGACCACCAACAAAAAGATATTTACTCATCCAGAGAGGTTCCTCGTTGCAAAGTATGTACATGACACTGCAAAGTGCAAAATCATTTCAGATACTGCATCATCCTACCACCGTTTCATTGTAGAAACACAAACATGACGTCTTAGCTCATGATCTCTAGATAATGACAATGTCAAACATCAGGAACTACCCTCTGGTCCCCTAAAATCTGTTGTTTCGGACACGGACATGGTCTTCAAAATACAGTTTTGACCTTTAGTGTCTTTAAAGTACATCCATAAATCCAAAAGAATCATATAGTATTATGGGAATACTTCTCAAGACTAATTCAGTGATTTTCAGGTATCTAATGTAAATATTTGTAAAGATATTGGTAGCCAAAATTTCCGAAAAGTTGGCTCTATCTTTGTCTAAAACGACCGCTTTTACAGGACCAGGGGAGTATGATTCTGTACTAGTCCAGTCTAAAATAGGTGACTGTTTAGTGTCGTGCACACAGAACATGAAAGAAATTAGTACTTCATGATTTTTGTCTATCTAGCTGTATAGTTATGTTTTAACTGCTACTAGCAGTCTAGTACTAATACCAATAAACATTTAGCATAAACATGTGGTGGATTGTTGCATATGAAAAGGAAGCATTTGAGAAACAAAATAACTTGCTAACATCTACTTCGTCCCAGAGAGAATACTCTGGTAGTAGCTTCAGTTTTCACTCCCAATCTGATGCCCCTAGAGGAGAAATGAACAGAGACAGAGAGAGAGAGAGACGCGGCGACCTGCTCACGCATGCGAGGCGGCCGATGTCGGTGGGCTGGAGGAGGTCGACGATGGCGCAGAGCAGCTCGTCGGGGAGCACCGCCAGGCCCCCCAGTGCCGCGCCCCTCCGGTCGTTCCCCGCCGATTCCATCGCCTCGCCGGCGACCGAGCCGGATCGGCGGGCTTGCTTTGCTGGGTATGGGTGCGTGCGGCGGGGTCAGAATAGTATCGGTGGGATGCAGTGGGCTGGAGGAATTCGTTTATTTATTAGTGGCGAGCTTTTTTTGAAAAGCGTGGACGCGTATTGGATTCGCCGATGCGGCCTGTCGACCTCATCATTTCGGCCGCGTAACACAGAAATCCTGTCAACTGGACGAAAAAGCATGGCTCATTTATTTATTTTTTGAGGGGAAAAAAAACATGGTTCATTTGAGGCGTGCGCCAGCACCGTACGCGTGTCCCAGGTGACATGCAATTGATGCTCCGATTCTATTCCGTTTTATTCAGTTTATTTTATTTTGGTTAGTGGCAGCCGAATCTTGCATCACTTTGCATTCTGTTCTCTTTTTTTCGAGTGTGCATTCTATTCCTTTCACACACTAAAAATGTCCTATGCAGCTACGGACGAAGGCATTGGGCAGAAGAACTTTTTTTTCTGGTACAGTACAATATACCATTCCATGATTAAACTAGAGAGCAGAGTCGTTTCCAGTAGCCTCCACGGCCACGGCCATGACGGCGGGGATGTTCAAAATCCTAAATAAAGTTCAGGTGCCAGAAAATTTGTAAGTCCGCATGAGGAAAAAGAAAAGGGTGAATTCCATATATGCCACTCAAAACTTGCCCGTATTCCTATCTGCCATTGGAAATTTCTCTCTTCCAGATATGCCATTGAAAATTTGCACCGCGTACAGATATGCCACTATGGCCAGTTTAACCGTTAGTTGACTGTCAAGCGGCACTTGCAAAGACGATTTTCCCCTTGGTACTGTAGCGGTGATACACTGTAGCATTCCGGACAAATTTGGTTACTTTCGAAATTGCGGGGCAAACATACTGTAGTGTCCACTTTTACAAAAAAAATCCAGTTTTTTTTAAATTGCGAACAAATTTTGACTTCCGAACAAATTTGGGCAATTGCGAACAATTTTTTCAAAAAAAGTGTTAGGAATTAAGAATTTGAAATTACGGAGATTTATTTTGAAATTCAGAAAAATTGTTCGAATTTCAAATCTGTTCGGACGCTACAGTACGGACGTCCGCAATTCGAAATTGGCCAAATTTGTTCAGAACGCTACAGTATATCACCGCTACAGTACAGGGGCAAAATCGTCTTTCCACATGCCACTTGACAGTCAACTAACGGTCAAACTGGCCATGGTGGCATATCTGTACACGGTGCAAATTTCCAGTGGCATATTTGGAAAAGGGAAATTTCCAATGGCACATGGAGGTACGGACAAGTTTTGAGTGGCATATATGGAATTCACCCAAAAGAAAAACTCGTAGTAGCCATTCCTAGATGAATAAGTAACGAATAAAATGTGTAGTGGTACAATCGCCAAGCCAGCACGGCCACGGATACCCTGTGTTTCAGAGGCAAATGTACCAGCCGTCAACTTCGGGAACGAACGAACGCATCAGTTCAGCGAAGCAACCGGCGGGCAGGCGTCGGCGGAACGCAGACGAGCGAGGCGTCGTCGACGACGGGCCCGCAGCGGGTGCCGCTGCTGTCGGACTTGGTGTGGTAGCTGGAGCCGGAGAACACCACCTTGGTCCGGCTATGGATCGCCGTGAACTCCAGCGAGGCGCGCGTGGTGCCCCCGCCGTTGCCGTCGGAGCGGTGCACCACGGTCTTGCTCCCGCCCGCCGTGGAGACCAGCACGCGCATGGGCTGTTCGTCGCTCGACTCGCACCGGTTGCCGGAGTTCCCGACCGAGAACTCCAGCTTGCACGCGCTCCCCGGCACGGTCTCCACCTCCTGCACCAGCGCGGCCTCCCCTCCGGAAACCAGCTCCACGGCGTAGGAGCCGTGCGGCACCGCGTAGTGCGGCGAGTCCACGTACTTGACGACCTTGGAGTAGGACATGATCATCCACCCCGAGATCGGCGAGATGTGGTTTTCGTCCCTCTGCGGCACCAGCACACCAAATGGTGATCCCGGCGCGATGTACGGCCCCTGCTCGAAGTCCCCGTTCCTCAGCAGGTTATCTGGACAGACACAGAATCGCACAGAGAGAGTCAGGTAAAGGGCTGATCTGACGTACTCGAAAGTTCATGCATATGAGATTGTGTGTCTTACCGCCGGTGGCCTGAGGAGGGTAGAGCGTCTTGATGGCGACGGAGTCGATCATGGGGCCGCAGGCGGGGTCGTCCTCGTGGACGGGGTTATGGATGGTGAGCGTCATGACGTCGTTCGTGGCCTGGAAAGCCCAGCAGTAGGAGTCCCAGCCGCTGCTGGTGTACACCGTCTGGATGGAGATCTCGTCGGACGCGTCGCCGGGGACGACCGACACGGTCAGCTTCTCGTACTGGGCGCATGTGCGCGCCGCGCTGAAGGTGACGGAGTACTGCATGCCCGGCGCCACGCTGAGCTGCTGGTGGATGGAGCCATCCTCGCCCAGCCGCACGGCGTGCGAGCCCTCCGGCACCGTCAGGATCATGTCGCCCTCCTTCTGCCCGGACTCGATGTACTCCACGTGCCCGGTGATCTTCCACTGTGGGATGGCGTTCGCCCCCGTCACCCTCGAGCCGTCCATTTGGAACCTGTCCGGCGAGTCCTCGAAGTTGCCGTTCGGCAGCGGGCCTGTAGCGTAACATGACGTGTTAGAGACAGAAAACTTGTGCTGCATGTAAGGAAACTAGTATAACACAAACAGTCAACGCCGGCATTTTGGGAGAAGCCACGCTCTGTCTTCTAGCATAGCTGATGCTTAAAAAGTAGGGAGTATCTAGAACTCATCTAGATGAGATATAATTTAGTCTCATTCACTTTGAAAACAAGAACAAATACAACCCACGTCAGCACACACGCATCTTATAGCATCACATCCAATGCCTATAAAAGGTAAATGAGACCAAATTATATCTCATCTAGATGAGTTCTAGCAAAACTGTAAAAAGTTCGCTAATCTTAGTAACCTCTCTAAATCTAAGCTGAGCTATTACAGATTTTTACGTGCTCGTAACAAATTATGCTGACACCAGTCCCGTGCAATCGCGTGACAATGAACACTAAACCAACTTTCTTAGTACATGGAATTAATTAACCCGACACTAGCTAGCAGGCTGGCATGGTCACTAAGAACATCGAGAAGACGGGAACAAGTTTGCAAATTAGTCTCGCGATACGAATCTGACAGTCACTCATTCCACTCCACCAAATTACATAGCGAACCAAGCATGCATGCAAGGGTTAAGCAACAATTTGTGTGTGGTGAGTTCTCAGTTCTCACCATCGCCGGCTGAAGCAGCTCGAGCAGCCGCGCAGACGACCAAGAACAACAGCGCGCCCTTGAACACCATCTCCTCCCGCTCTTCACCTCCTCGGCTAGTGTACCTCACAATTTTTCTCACACTTTGGAATAGTTCTCTCGAGCTTCTACGTATCGGGGACAGACGGAGCTTATCTGGGAAGTCACCGTTGCACTTGCGGTCCACTTATAACGGGTCGACGGATCGGCCAGGAGGTCGGTGTACGCGCGCGGAGCGGGGCGATTGGGCGCCGCGGAACGCGCCGGGGTCGTCGCGCAAGGCACGAGGCCACGAGAAGGGCACCGTCCTCCTCTCCACCTGCAGGTCCCTGATTCGATCGGTCGATCCATCGGATGCGGCCACGGCCGGTGCAAAATGGCCGTCGTGCGTGGACTCGATCGCCGGCCAGCGCTCATTATCAGTTTGTAGTACGACGTAGTACGTGTGGTTGCAGGCGCAACGGCGTGCGTTCACGTGGACTTGTGCGGCATCTGCAGGCCGATGGAATGGAAGGATTCCGCTGTCTCCTGGATCGATCGATTGGCTGGGCGCCAGGTATCCAGGTGATCACCTAGTGTTCATGTGGATTTTCATTTGCAGCAGTGGCATCATTTACGAGTCGTCGCAGCTTAAGCTGCCTCCAAGGACAGCTTAAGATGCTAGGCGCTGGAGTCAACTTTGGGCCCTGTCAGAAGGGCGCGTGCATATCTGAATCCAAACAGTACGCACTGATGGTCCACTAGTATCATTTTAAAAACAGGAACCATAATGTTACCTCCGTTCCAAAATTAGAGGACTTAGATTTGCCTAAATATGAATGCACCTTCCTTTTTTTCAACGAAATTGGAAGCTTTATTAATGAAGTATTAATCGTAAGGTTACAATCTGCCGGTAGGCTAGACAAAAGAAAATTTAGGCTTGCATCACGCCAGCTTTCGGTGCCATCAAGTGAACAAGCAAAGCCAGCACACCGATGGAAAGGAACATTTGAATCCCAACCAACATGAGTAACCATGAGAGAAGCAAAACTAGCACCGATCTCCTCTAATCCAGCGGC